AATATCCGTGTTGGAAGCAGTTGAGGAAGGACTGAATCCCAGCAAACTATAACAAACAGTTTCCCAGAAGGAACTCTGCCATTGCAAGCATTTTTTTAATACTTCTGTGGTTTCCAGGTTTGAACAAGGACTATCTTATTGGTAGAGTGCTGAGAGAAGTATGACCAAGAGAGGCCTATTGAAAATGATGGAATTAAGATGTTACTTGGGAAAAGAAAGGATTAATACCCTGGCTAATCTAAGCATAACTAGAAAATGTGGTTTTCATCATTCTGTACGAAAGGATGTTGTTCAACACACCCTCCTGTAAGTAATAAGGGTAGAACTAATATGATAAATAATACACCCCTAGAAAAAGGATTATGGTAGCAGTAGAAGCGGCGATGTTTATAATCGATGTAAAATAGGTAAAGCCCTGAGTGTCACACCTAGAATATTGGTTAGTAACGCTGAGCAAGAAGAGAGTTTATAATTCACAGGGTCTGACTTGAAGTTCATTTGCAGGGAAGGGAATAAAGCCATTTTATGTGGCTGATATATGCAATGCCCACAAACACTTTAAGATAGATAAATAGATATATTTACATACGTGCATTACAATGCAGTTAGTTTTTATTCTTTCACGTGTGTATTTGTGTATTTTGTGCACATTCCTTATATAAATGTGCGTATCTACAGAAAGAAGTATCCGTATATAATGTATTCATAGACACTGATATTTACGCTCACATGCATGTGCCATTCGTGCATGGATGTAGGCATACATCTTAAATGACGGCACAACCCGGGGCACCGCCAAGGCTGTTCAGATGCCACGGCCAATGTCAGAAACCGTACCTGCAAGGAGGGGCTTAGCAGGATTCGGAGGGAGGATTGAACTTCACAACTGCCTGAAGAGTCCCCACATCCCAATAATAACAGAAACTTGCTGCTGGGGTGGGGGGAATGACGGGAGACAGACGACCTGCTGGGGTTTATTTGGGTTTTTTTTTTTTTCCCTTTTTTTTTAGCCCAAATTCCTTAATACAAGTCAAATCTTTTTTTCCTTCACTAGCTTCCCAGGGACCGTAGCATCTCAGTGAGAGCCAGGCCTCTGCCACAAGTGATAGGTGCCCGCAGAAAGGAGTGGGGGGAGATGCTATCGCGGGCAGCCCCTCTGCCTGGGAGATGAGAAGAGCAGAGGTGTGTGCACTGAGTCTGCAATAGCCCCTCTCCTTCCCTCTCGCTCTATCTGAAGTCTGTTGTATATTTGTTCCTTCACGGCTCCTCGTCCTTAGATTAGATTTCTCCTTTCTCATTACCAACCTTAATAGACCCTTCAGACCTCATTCCAGCCCCAGATATTATCTGACCCGTATAATTAATTAATTATAGCCCAAATATTATAGATTATTAAAAATAGCATAACTAATAGTGTAATATCTCAAGCTGTCGACTTTAATAGTCAACATTGTCTTGGTCTCTCTTATCAGGCTGGGACACCCGGTGAGAATATTGATTTCTGGTAATTTTAACCATCATCTGCCATCCTGATGGGTAATTGTCAGATTTTCACCAGAGTCAGAGCTCATTTGAAATCGTTAAACCGTCGGCAAGGCTCACAGTTGATCTTAATGTTTCCTTTTTCTCCCCCTTCAATATGTTTCAGCAACAGAGAGGAAAATAAATAGAAAGAGAAAGAGAGAGCAAGCGAGAGCTGCCTGCGTGCCGGCCATCCGATTTCTCTTTTATTTTATTTTTTCCTTTACGCGTATGGCCCCCGCGACACAGAAGGGCTGCGTGTGCCCCCCCCCCAGCACCGCTTCCACCCCTCTTTCAACCTAGAAAGAAAAATAATAATAATTCAAGAATAAATGAGCAGCTTGTCCCTGAAGCACGCGTGGCTCGGCCCTGCCGTGGGCTGGGGCCGTGGACAGGGGAGCTGAGGGTTGGTACCCAAGGGAAGAGGGGGGGTCCTCCCGGCTGTGTGTCCCCCCCCACCTTGCCCAGCATCCCGGCGGGGGGCCGGGGGATGCTCTCGGCGGAGCTCCTCCTGCCAGCAAAACGGATCGGCGAGATGTGTGAAAAAGCCCCCGCAGAGGCGATCCCAGCCGCGATAAGTGACAACCAGGCACTTTATTAGTATTTTATATAAACTCCCGGGTGCTGGCAGATAAACGCCCAAATTAGGGGGGGGGGCTGTTTAAACGGGGGAACAGCTGAGCTGAGGTTTGAAGGCGACAAGGGACCTTGGGTGCCCCTGCCCCTCTCTCTGCCCCCCACCCATCCCGGGTGACACTCGGGGGCATCTCTCCCTCCCTCCGTCCCCGTGTCCCCCCCCAGCAGCACCCATCCCCGGCCGCCCCCGGGGCTCCCCTCGGGCTGCCGGGGAGCTGGGAGGGAGCCGGCGAGAGGGAAGGGAACTGTTTAATAGATCCTCCGAGGATTCCCCTAGAGCATTATTTAAACTTCTAATTATGATTCATGTGTGTGATAATATTAATTTAATAATCAAGGAGCTGTGCAGGAAGCATTAACCTCAATTAAGCTCATTACTACCCTAACCTGGAATCCCCAGGGCTTTTAAATCTTCTACTATGAGGACCTGACACTGCATTGATAGAGGGCGAGATCTGCTTCAGAATCTTTTTTTTTTTTTTTTTTCCCTAAATCATTTGCCTTCGTGGGTAGAGTTAATTAATTCCCTGATTTTGGCTCGGAGGGGGGGGAGGTGGGGGCTGTCCCACCTCCCCAGGGAGAAGCCGGGCATCCCGAGGTGCCCCCCTGTCCCCGCTCCTCTGCTCTGTCCTGAGCCAAGACACAAAATAATAATAATAATAATAATAATAATAATAATAATAATAATACGAGAGGAACCCACTCAAAGCAAAGCAGGGCTAGACGAATTTTGCAGCCCGACTGCATTTGGCAACAAAATGGGGAAGGCGAGAAGCCCAAGGGACCTCCCGGCCCCCCCCAGCAGGGCAGAGGCGGCCGCGGACAGAGCCGCGCCGGCGGAGCTCCCTGTGCCGGGGCCGCGGAGGGACGCGGAGGCTCCGCGCCTGGTGCAGCCACCCGAGTGACCTTCTCGACGCAGCGAGGGCTGCTAAATTGTTTTACCGCGGCGATAAATGCCCTTAATTACCCGGAGCTCCACACTCCCCAGGGACGGGGATGAATGGTGAACCGTTAAAAAAAAAAAAAAAACACAAAAAAAAAAAAAAAAAAAAAAAACAACAAACAAGGGA